AATAGGTTTATGATCTTCTATATACAGTCAAAATTTCAAACGACACCGTTTCCCGAGAAAAGTTCTGCCCTTTATTTGATATCGTTTATGACGATATATCGCTTATAGAGGTCAATTCCGCTGGACGTTATAACATTTTCGACTATATATAGAGGCCAACTACTCTAAGACAATCTTCTATATCAGAGGCCAGCTACTCTAAAAACGTAGCGCCTATGGACTGGTATTTTATAGCAACCATCATCTATATAGCAATCATTATTGCAATTAGCGCCAAATAGATTTTTTTATATCACAATTACACTTATTTTCGAGCTTTAAGTCGGATATACAAAAAACCATTTAAAATTTTTTCAGAATGGATTTTGAAAATCAAAATAAAATTTTACAAAACAAATACAATTCATTTATCAATACATATTAGATTTTGAAGATGTCATTTAAAATCTGAATTTTTGGGTCAGCTTAGATTAATGAATGAATTGTATATGCTCCGTACATGTTCAGAATACTGATACATTTAAAAGAATGATTTCTTAATATTATTCATTTTTATAAATTAAAAAATAAATAGTTTTCTTTGCGTCAAAATTTCCACAAAATTGCTTTTAAAGCCTTAAAAAGATCTTGTGTTAAAGGCTCCGTTTTTTTGGGGGGTCAGCTGTCTTCAATTAATTACAAAATTTATTTAAATTGTAATTGATTTGATTTTTTTAGTTAATAGTGACATTCAGGGATTTATTTATTACTCGATACAATGGAGATATTAATGGACTTGGGTATCTTAGTGCTGATCGTGGATAGATTGCCAAGCTTTCATTCATATATCATACATTTCATGAAATAGCTTCATAAATTTCATGAAAAAACTTCTGATTTGTTATACTTTAGTTTTATTGCGGAGTAAATTTTTTATATATTTTTTTCTCGAAATTTAATAAATAGGCTTTCCATTATAAACAAAATAATAATTAACAAAAAAAATTATTTCATAGATATAAAAAATTGTCAAATAGTTCTTAAACATTTATGATATGTATTGAGATATATTTGTAATAAAAGAAATGAGAAAGTAATACTTCATATTGAAGAAAAAAATATTTTTTTTAGATTTTAATTTGTTTTTAAATTGCAAGTTTTTTTTATAAAATTCTGTTTTTTTTTTTAAACAAACATTTGCCAGACTTATGCATCTACATATTCATGATATTAGGAAAATTTATGAACGTTTATGTTTGGTTTCATTTCTTGTTTTTGTTTTTTTGGTTTTTCATTTGCAAACTCTAAACATTTAATTGAAATACACATGTATTTTAAATATATTTTTCTTGGTATTTTTTAATCTGTTTTTTATTTTGTTTTTAGTTTTTAATTTACTTCTTCCATATCGACTTGCACACATTGAAAAGAGAAATATATTTTGAAAAGTTTTGTTTAAGCAATATAAAATAAATATTTTTTTTTTCAAAAATATTGAAGAAAATATATTTTGTAAAATAATGTGTAATCACATACATTTTTATTAAATAAAATGTAACATAGTTTAAATATTAGAATTGGGAAATTTAGTTTATGCGAATGGTTTGATTTTTCACCTTCCTTTTATAGAATGGAACTAGTTCCATGATACAGTTCCTTAACTCCATATAGTTCTGAATTTAATTTTTTATTTTGAATCTCTCTTTTATAAATACTCATTAAGTTTTTTAGTTCAAATACTTCCATGTTGGTGAATAGAAAAACTAAACAAATGGTGAATACATAATAGGGAATAAACTGTTTCCAATAAAGGAACTAGATAAACTTAAGAGTTGGAACTAGTTCCTATTGCTCCTTTCTCGGAATATTTCCAAATGAACAAACGACTAATTCTAAGAATACATGTCTTTATAAAAATTCTCAAATTTTTCAAATAATTGTGTTCCAATATTTCGCGAAATTTTCCTCATCATATAATATCTTTATGGAAATTGACAAATCTTTTCTATAATTTTGTTCCTGTTACTCCTCTTGGAAGGATAACACCGTCATCTTACTCGGTTAGTTGCGTGGTTTTTGCATCTTCCCATGTAAGATTATTTTGTCTTAGTTCTTGGATAATAGTTTCTTGTTCGACCTCGATTTTTGGATCCTTCTATTTAAGAGTCATTCTGGTAGTGCTGTGGACATTTTTTTTAGATATGCCCAATCCATCTCTATTTTCTACATTTAATCTGCTTTGGTATGGGTTCCTGGTTCGTTAGGTTCCACAGCTCTACGTTACCTATGGTGTTGGGCCAGAATTAGGGATAAGTAAAGTGACTTTCGACTAATCGATTAATAGACTTTTTGTATTGAAAAGTCTAAAAGTCGAAGTCGACTTTTGGTACTTGAGATAATCGCAAAGTCGACTTTTCAAGATCGACTTTCGATTTTCTTCATAAATACTTGGTTTATTACCATAAAGCCGAAATTGCCCGAGATTACACATTCCAAAACTTTAATTCATCTGTTGACAACAATTCTTATAAAAAATTAAATTTTTAATCGAATTTGCTTTAATTGGTAAAAGTCGAAAATTGGTTTTGAACAGGTTTGACAAAATCGAAAGATCGAAAAGTCTAAAAAACCGACTTTCGCTCAACTACATATCCCTAGCCAGAATATTATGCATAAGATTCTGAGGCATATGTTTATAAATACCTGTAGCTTTTACGTGATCGTATTTGACAGAAGCCGGCTATATACAGTTTTCGAATATGTTAAGCTTAGTTCTATAATTAATAAAACTAAAAAAATTGTTGCCCAGCAGTAAGAATAAACATTTTGTATGAAAATAATTTGAAATAAAAGTGGATTTTTTTGTGCTAGTAGGGTAAATGTAGGGAATGAAGATAAAACAACTCATAAAAATAATACTGCATTATGTCACCAGGATGTCTACACTACAGATGACGTTTGAGTTCAATGTAGTGTAGACACACACACCTATTCTTAAAAGTCGATCTATGTGTGATATGATGTAGTGAAGACTCAAACCATGAAGTAACAATGTTGATGAGATTGTTGTTGAAATGAAGATGGTGCTGCTGTGTAGCAAAAAATCCACTCCTAGAAAAGATCCATAAAATTATTCTTAAATAAATCCACGTATAGAAAATGCCCTTGAAAAGTATTTTTGAAATAAAATTCTTGCAAAGTATTCTTAAATAAGTCACAGGAAAAATCCTTGAAAATATTTTTGAATAAATATACGCCTGTTAATGATAGCTTCTACGTACGTGATGGTATTTGAAGGAAGCCCTATAGCAGAATCGGCTATATACAGGCTTCGAATATTTTAAGCTTGGTTTTTCTATAATTAATATAACTAAAAAATGGATATGGATATAAAAAAATAATTCTAACAAGTATTAGATTATTTTTCAAAATATATTTCACTTAACAGGGTGTGCGGACAAACCGATTGAATCGTTCCTTCCGTTTTTATTTATTTATTTTTTTCAATTGTAGTAGTTTGTTTGAAATATAACTTTTTATCATTGATTTTTTTTAATTTTTTTTCTTTCGATTTTTATATATTTTATTTAAACCAATTATTTTTTTTTATTTTTTTATATATATTTAAATTTTAAATATTTGATAACAGGCTTTCTTTGATATGTTTTCGTTACATGTTTTGTAATATTTTGTTTAATATTTTTTCTATTTAATTTCATATTGTTTTTGTAAATTTAAAATAAACAATTATCATAGATACGACATTGCTATTTCTCTCTCGGGGTTTTACTTAGGGGGTTTTTTAATTTTAATTTTATACTCCTTTCAAGGGAAGTGTGTGTGTACGTTTTAATTTTATTATTAAAATAATAAACAAAAACATATTTTTTATAATTGCACATATTACTAAGATTTGTTTGAGGGTAATTTTCAATATTTTTTAATTATTATTTTTCTTTTCCTTTCTCTATAGGGAATTTATTTGTTTTCCATATATATAGCTGCAGGGCTTTTTGGTTTTGGATGGTGCTAATACTAATATATACTAAATTTTTTTTTGTAGTATTTTTTCGTATTTGTATTCTAAAAAATTAAATCAAATCAAAAACATTTACATATATATTTTCTTAACGTTTGTTTTAAGTAATATATGGAAGGTTTAGTACTGATAGCATCTAATTTGATTTTTTTATTTTTTTAAGGAAAAAACCACACATTTAAAGAAAACCATTTCGTGTTTTGCCATTTAGCAGTATTGAAACATTAAATATTTTTTTTTTTTTTTTTTGAAAAATCAAAAATTATAAGGAAAAATATTAAAAAAAAAAAAAAATAATATTGTGTATTTTTTTTTTTTTTTTTTTTTTTTTTTTTTTTTTTTTTTTTTTACAAATAATTTATATTTTTGTTGTTTAAAAATTAATAACACACTAAAAAGGGATTGGTTTTGAAGGGATTCTAGTTTTAAATAATTATTATTTTTTGGTTTTTTTTCATTGTTCTTGCCGATCCTGCTTCCGCATTTTATTCAAATTTACACATTTGAATTGAGATTTTTTGTTTGTTCTTGATTTAGATGTAATTTTGTTCTTGAGTTTCAAACAAAAATTGAGAATTGTGAAATTTTTGAGATGTATAGAAGAAGAAGATTAAATTTGGAAATGTTTTTTTAAGATAACAAAAAAATTTGCTGATAGACAAGAAGCAGCAGATGACGGCAGAAGGAGGAGAAGAAGAGAAGGAAATTTTAAAAATAAAAATTAAATACCAATAGAAGTTTACGTAATATTATAAATACTAATATTGATAACAAAAACATTTTTCAAAACTAAAAGTAATAAAAATTAATTACATTATTTCAAAACTAAAAATTCCAATTTTTTTGTTGATTTTTTTTCAATTTTTTTATATGAAAATTCTGTAATGCTGTAATGTATTTTATTTTGTTCTTATTCATATTTAACCACTGTCATACAATAGCCACCAATGAACCCCCATATTTATTGGGAGAGGGGTTTAATAGTAGCTATCATATGGTGTGCCTAAATATGAATAAAAACTTGGATTAATGGGTTGGGCATGTGCATAATAAAATCCAGAAGCCGGATCTGGTGCTACTCAATCTAAGAAACCTGTATTAACCAATTTCTCCAAAAAGAACTTCACATCACCCAGTTCAGAATCTTTAATGCCCAATGATTTCAGCATACCCAAGTCGCCATTTTCAACGGCCATAAATACAGAGCGTAAATGTTCCAAATCGGATCTGAAAAGAAAAAACAAACAAAAACAAATTTTATTTAAAAATTTAAAATCATTTAAATAATAATTCAAAATGATTTTTCTGCCACAATAATTCTGAAATAAATATGTATGCGGTAAACCATTTTTAAAATTTAATTGAAATATTGAGACTCTCCGCAATTTTCAAAAACCTGCAATTGCACAGTAGGAAAAAATAATTTGAAATAAAAGTTGATTTTTTTGTGTCCCGTAAATGTACATAACCCTCTCCGCCATTTACATAACCCTGCAATTGCACAGTAGGAAAAAAAAAATAATTTGAAATAAAAGTTGATTTTTTTTTGTGTCCCTTTTTGTCTGATAGATGTGTCGATATCGATGGTATATGTAGTAGGGTAAATGTAGGGAATGAAACAAACACTCATAAAAATAATACTGCAGTATGCCACTAGGATGTCTACACTACAGGAGATGTTTTAACTCAATGTAGTGTAGACACACTCACATATTCATAAAAGTCGATCTGTGTCTGATATGTAGCAATGCCTCAAACCATATACTAATCATGTTGATTGTTGGTGAAATGAAGATGGTGCTGTGTAGCTAAAGTATTCTAATAATTCCACGCTTAAAAATAGCTCTTGAAAAATGTTTTTTAATAAAACCACGCCTGGGAAAAACCTTGAAAAATGTTTTTAATAAAACCACGCTTGGGAAATCCTTGAAAAATGTTTTTTAATAAAACCACGCCTGGAAAAATCCTTGAAAAATGTTTTTTAATAAAACCACGCCTGGGAAAATCCTTGAAAAATGTTTTTTAATAAAACCACGCCTGGGAAATCCTTGAAAAATGTTTTTTAATAAAACCACGCCTGGAAAAATCCTTGAAAAATGTTTTTTAATAAAACCACGCCTGGGAAAATCCTTGAAAAATGTTTTTTAATAAAACCACGCCTGGGAAAATCCTTGAAAAATGTTTTTTAATAAAACCACGCCTGGGAAAATCCTTGAAAAATGTTTTTTAATAAAACCACGCCTGGGAAAATCCTTGAAAAATGTTTTTTAATAAAACCACGCCTGGGAAAATCCTTGAAAAATGTTTTTTAATAAAACCACGCCTGGGAAAATCCTTGAAAAATGTTTTTTAATAAAACCACGCCTGGGAAAATCCTTGAAAAATGTTTTTTAATAAAACCACGCCTGGGAAAATCCTTGAAAAATGTTTTTTAATAAAACCACGCCTGGGAAAATCCTTGAAAAATGTTTTTTAATAAAACCACGCCAGGGAAAATCCTTGAAAAATGTTTTTTAATAAAACCACGCCTGGGAAAATCCTTGAAAAATGTTTTTTAATAAAACCACGCCTGGGAAAATCCTTGAAAAATGTTTTTTAATAAAACCACGCCTGGGAAAATCCTTGAAAAATGTTTTTTAATAAAACCACGCCTGGGAAAATCCTTGAAAAATGTTTTTTAATAAAACCACGCCTGGGAAAATCCTTGAAAAATGTTTTTTAATAAAACCACGCCTGGGAAAATCCTTGAAAAATGTTTTTTAATAAAACCACGCCTGGGAAAATCCTTGAAAAATGTTTTTTAATAAAACCACGCCTGGGAAAATCCTTGAAAAATGTTTTTTAATAAAACCACGCCTGGGAAAATCCTTGAAAAATGTTTTTTAATAAAACCACGCCTGGGAAAATCCTTGAAAAATGTTTTTTAATAAAACCACGCCTGGGAAAATCCTTGAAAAATGTTTTTTAATAAAACCACGCCTGGGAAAATCCTTGAAAAATGTTTTTTAATAAAACCACGCCTGGGAAAATCCTTGAAAAATGTTTTTTAATAAAACCACGCCTGGGAAAATCCTTGAAAAATGTTTACGAGTAAATCCACGCCTGGGAAAATCCTTGAAAAATATTTTTGAATAAATCCACGCCTGGGAAAATCATTAAAATATGTTTTTTTTTTTGATAAATCCACGCCTGGGAAAATCCTTGAAAAATTATTTTAAAATAAACCCACTTCTTTTTTTTTAAATAAGCCCAAGTACTTGATTTTTTTTTTTGAAATAAGACCAGGTACTTGATTTTTTTTTTAAATAAGCTCAACTACTGGATTTTTTAATAAGCCCAAGTCTAATATATGTTTAAATAAATCCACTTCTAGGAATAGTCCTTGAAACATATTTTTAATAAATACACGCCTAGGAATAGTACTTGAAAAAAATATTCTTAAATAAGTCCATTCCTAGAAATAGTCCTTGAATACTATTTTTTAAAATGTCCACACAATTAATGGTCCTTGAATAATTGTTTTAAATAAATCCTCGCAATTAATGGGCCTTGAACATTATTTCTAAATACATCCACGCCTACGAATAGTCCTTGAACATATTTTTAAATAAATCCTGTCCTTAGATAGTCTTCGAAAAAGAATTTTAAATTACTCCCCCGTCTTTGAAATATATGTGTATATAAATCCGCACCCATAGTGCATTGTATGTATGGATATTTGCATGTGTGTCCCTTACAACAATAAAACTGTCATATGTATGTAAACCCTTATAACCTCGCCATCATGTTCATATCGGCATAGCTCCGACATCATGTTCATCAAAGTTAATTCCGCTTTTTGATTCTTAGAAATTTGCGTTTATGAAAAGCTCCCTTCACTCCAAACTCAAAAAGGGTATGCTAATTAACAGTTGCCATAGACCACAATATTTTGAAATATACCAGATTAATTAGAGGAATAAACTCGATTGAAAGGGACGAAAAATAATCCGCAGGATTAATTTCCACGAAATAAAGTAAATGGCGATTCGTTGAGAGGATTATAAAAGTTGAATGGGGATTTTGGGGAATGAGGATATAACAACAATAGATGGGTACAGGAATAATGATTTTAATTTGATATAAAATTTTCAAAGGGATAGGGTTAGGTTTTTGGGATAATAAGATGATATCATAATAACATTAAATTCGGGGAACCGGATTGGATTTATTTTATATCTTAATTGGGTATTTTTTAATAGATATTACAAAATAGGGAAAAGGGATGGAGAAACATAAAAAATTAAGGGCTAAATAAAATCTAAGGGAATAAAAGCACATTGATTCAGAATATTAAGCTCACAGAAGGAGTGCAATGTTCGCAAGAAGTTTTAATATAAAATTTTCATTTGCATGAATTTATAATTTTTGTTTTAGTGGATTTTGAAAAACTCCACAATATCCGAGTGTTTTTTTTTTTAATTCAATATTATTTTCCATGTACTGTTCCCTCCATATATATATGTTGCTACCAATGGGTTGGTAGGATAAATATAGGGGAGGAAAACTAAAACTCATAAAAATAATTCCTCTGATTGCCACCAGAATGTGTAGTTTTTATTCGATGTATTGGGTAGTCGCCTTGTGAGCCATCGTTAGTTTTTATTCGATGTTAGCGAAGACTCAAGCCATGAATAACCATATTGATAACATTGTTGGCGAAGTAAAGATGGTGTTGTGTGCTGAGCATAATTTTAAAACAAAGTCTGCTCGAAGAAAATTTCAAATTTAGGTTCCCCCTTTTTTCATTGCTGATTTTAGATATTTGGCATAATCTTACAAAAAAGTTTTTTCTTCAAGAAATGTATCAAATTGCCACCAAATTTTAAATTTTAATATTTAAACACTCAGTCAAGGAAGCGTAACCATTTTTTGACTTCATAATTCAATAGTGTTTTCCTAGAAGTATATTTTACTTTTTAATGAAGTCCATTATAGTCTTCCTGAATAGATTGTATATTTTACGCTTTTGTAACGCTCTGAAAGCTTTTTATCCTCCTCCATAAATTTTTCATTAAATGGAAATTCACAATTGCGGAACGCATTATTTTTCCTCATTCATATCCTTTATATTTTTATATTTCCCACACTTGAATATTTGTGTATTTATATTTTCACATTCTTAACGAAGCATATCATTTCAATTTGTGCGTATTTCCTACCACTCTCATTCCTTTCTCATTAAATTATATTTCATGCCTACCATTACCATTTTGAATTTGTATTTAGTTCCATGCGGCGTTCAATTTACTCCGCCAACTTACCTCATTAAATGCAATGCTGCACCGAAATCTTCAATCGTTTGCGATTCACTTAAGGCAATGGCCACTTTTTCTACACCACCCAAGGGGGAGAGGGCATCACGAGCCTTACTGCCAAAGAGCTTTTCCAAATAATTGGGTCCATGTGAAGCCAGTAAACTTTGCAGGAATGATGCGGTTTCTTCTACCGGTGGACGTTTGGCTGGAAAGAGAAAAAATTAAAGGGAAATTATTATAAAATTTGAGATAAATGAAAATCATCAAGTTTATAGGCGTATTTTTTTAAAGAAAATTATTAGGCCACCATGAGGCCATAGGCGTGGATTTTTTAAACAAATTTTATGACCCATCATCAAGGCCATAGGCGTGGTTATTTTTAAAGACATTTTATGAGCCATCATCAAGGTCATAGGCGTGGATTTTTTTAAAGAAATTTAATGAGCCATCATCAAGGCCATAGGCGTGAATTTTTTTAAAGAAATTTAATGACCCATCATCAAGGTCATAGGCGTGGATTTTTTAAAGAAATTTAATGAGCCATCATCAAGGCCATAGGCGTGGATTTTTTAAAGAAAATTATTCACCCACCATCAAGGCCATAGGCGTGGACTTTTTAAAGAAAATTATTGCACCACCATCAAGGCCATAGGCGTGGATTTTTTAAAGAAAATTATTGCACCACCATCAAGGCCATAGGCGTGGATTTTTTAAAGAAAATTATTCACCCACCATCAAGGCCATAGGCGTGGACTTTTTAAAGAAAATTATTCACCCACCATCAAGGCCATAGGCGTGGACTTTTTAAAGAAAATTATTCACCCACCATCAAGACCA